TCTAAAACACAGATTTTAGAGTCAGGAAGATCTGGGCTCAGACTCCAGGTCTGAAACTTAGTGACTTTGGGTATGTTATTGATTCTTTTTGATGCTAACTTAAAGAATCAAGATAGCACCAATCTCATAAGCAGCAAATGATAGTATTATCTCCACCTTTTATGTTGGAGAGGAAGAAAACATTTGGCCCATTTAAAAATTTAAATATTTGTTGATTTAACTATTTCTCTTCATAAATCATTCTTAACCATTTTATATTAATTAAATTTGGGGGGATGGGAAGATCTGAGTATTCTTTAATTGCTGGTAGCATTATATAACGACATTTAAAAAGCAGTATACATTATATATCAGTAATGTGACACTTTTATATACTTTGTCAGTCAAATCATTTTGGAAATATTAGCATAAGAAAATAAAATTCAAAAGAAGAAAAGAGCTATATACAATGCAAAATTTGCTTATTGCAGCATTTTTCTATATAATGAAGGAAATACAGCATTAGAAAACGAAAGTAAGTAAAAGGAGATGTATCAGCTTGGTGGCAAAACATGTTAATTATTAAAAATGATGACGATGGTTTTAAAGGTGAGAAAATGTAAAAGCAGAACATATATTATAATTGCGGTACATATATTACAATTGCGGTACATACACTGAATGCAGCTTTTTCCAAGGAGAGGCATTTTAGCATAGTGATTAAAAGCATAGATACTGGAGACAAACTCCCGCATTTTGAACGTTAGCTCAGTCACTTACAGCAGCATGGCCTTGGACAAATTAAGCTTTGTGTGCCTCAGTTTCAACATCTATAAAATGAGGATGGTAATACTACTACTTCTTAGGATAATTGCGGTAATTTGCTGAGCCAGTATATGTGAAACAGCTTAGAAAAGTGCCTGGCCCTTAGGTTATTAAATAAATGTCCACAGGTGCAAGTTTTTAACTTTGCAATTAAAAACCTTGAAGAATACTTAAGGTTCAGAGGGTAAGGTAAAGCAGAGGGTAAGGTGCAAGTTTGGAACAAAAAAGAGAGAGAGAGAGCGAGAGGGAGAGAGGGAGGGAGGGAGGGAGGATGGGAGAGAGAGAGAAAGAAAGAGAAAGAAAGAGAAAGAAAGAAGAAAGAAAGAAAGAAAGAAAGAAAGAAAGAAAGAAAGAAAGAAAGAAAGAAAGAAAGAAAGAAAGAAAGAAAGAAAGAAGGAAAGAAAGAAAGAAAGGAAAGAAGGAAGGAAGGAAAGAAGGAAAGAAAGGAAAGAAAGAAGGAAAGAAAGAAAAAGAAAGAAAGAAAGAAGAAAGAAAGAAAGAAAGAAAAAGAAGGAAAGAAAGAAAGGAAAGAAGGAAGGAAAGAAGGAAAGAAAGAAGGAAAGAAAGAAAGAAAGAAAGAAAGAAAGAGAAAGAAAGAAAAAAAAGAAAGGAAGAAAGAAAGAAAGAAAAGGAAAGAAAGGAAAGAAGAAAGAGAAAGAAAAGAAAGGAAGGAAGGAAGGAAGGAAGGAAGGAAGGAAGGAAGGGAAAGAAAGAAGAAAGAAAAAGAGAAAGAAAGGAAGAAAAGAAGGAAGGAAGGAAGGAAGGAGAAAGAAAGAAAGAAAGAAAGAAAGAAAGAAAGAAAGAAAGAAAGAAAGAAAGAAAGAGAAAGAAAGAGAAAGAAAGAAAAGAAAGAAAGAAAAAGAGAAAGAAAATGCCATTTTGTTAAGATATTTTTGATAGGATATTTGGATTTTTTTTAATACTAAAAAGTTCCTAGTTTGTCATTATATATTTTAATAATAAATAAATGTAAGACAAAAAAAGTGGAGATTGCAGGTCCATGGATTTTAAAAATTATCTTTATTTTCATGTTAATTGAAAATCAAATGATATATTAAATAGTAAAAAATTTTAGAGAAAACGTTTTACTTTATTTCATGAAAAATTGTATTCTGTAAATATGATCATAAAATGAATTATGAAGATTACTAAATCCTTTTCTTTTAAACATTGAGTTAGAAAATGTGAAAGCATTAAAATGTGCTGTCATTGATATTATATTTTTTGCCTGTAGATGGCACTATAATTTTAGATATCTTTCTTATTTATTACTTTGACCATGTTTAAAGAAAGGGTCACTAAACTTGTTTCAAGCCATCATAAAATGTATTCAGATACTGTACATGTGAACTATTTTGTATACCAATAACATTTGCCATGTTCATTTTTTTTTTTTCCAGTTTATGACTTTAAGATATTTTGGACCAAATGATGACCAGGTTTTTGCAGTAATTCTGGGGCATTTCAGGCTTTCAGAAGAATACTCTTTGGATGAGTTTTCATTTTCAAAGTTGCATTTGAAACTGATCCCATAGTGCCTCAGGATTACTAAGGTAAAACAAATGGAGGTCTTTTTATTTAGATAAAACACTTGGATTTTTGCGAGTTGTAATAAGCTGAAAGTCATATGTAACTTTTGATCCAAATAGCATTTATTCTCTGTTGTGCCAGGCATTTCTCTTATTTTAATTCATGTACCCACCCTTTAGTAGGTAGGTAGTGTTTTCCCTTTTTTTGCAGGTGAGAAAATACTGAGTGATTTACTGAACTATTCAAGGTCAAACAAGACAGTATGTGGTTGAACTTGATTATGCTTCCTAAAGGAGTTCTGTTTTCATCTACCTAATATTTGCCTTCTAAAATTAAGTTTTTTGGTTAATAACTTTCATTCATACCAAATTGATATTACTTGTCATTTATTAATTGGTATATTGGAGCAGAAAGAAACAAGATTCCTTTTGAGATTCTGAGACCAAAATAAAAGTAAAGGAGATTGATCCTTTGGGAAATTTCCAAATCTTTTTGGAGTATTTTTCAGAATATCTTGGGTCTTATATCATAAGCACAGGCAAAATCATTATGGGTAATAGGAAGTTATTTGAAATTTTACCTGGCACAATATTAGAAAAGCATTTTAAAAATACAATGAGAGAGTTGCTTTTTTTCCCAGTTCTCTTTCAGTGCTTTAACCAATCATTCTGTTTAAGACAAGGAGGAAGCTGATTAATACTAGTTTACATATATCACTAACACTTGCAGATTTACCTTTTAAACAGAGACAGTGCAGGTCTCAGGCTGAGGAATACTGGCAGGCAGCAATATCTAGCCAGACTTTAAGAAGATCACTTTGTTTTATTGAATTTATTTTTCCAATTACTTGCAAATAATTCATATAAGTTTTCCACTTATGTGACGTTTTTTAAAAAAATACGTTTAATTTTAAAGAGAGGGAATCAATTTAAAGATATTAAGGAAATACTAGTGTAGATATAGCAGCAGTAGTACAAGAATGATTGAAGTTTAGGAAATACTGGCATGGCTGGGAGTACCTGAACTCAGAGAGGGGCTCTACCACTGCACTAGTCTGTGGCTTTACTTACCCACTGAAATTCTCTGTTGTGCTGAACTCAAGTTTAAAGTTATGTTAGTAATCAGTTCTCAGTCCAAGACAGGACAGTATTGCATCAAACAAAATAATGAAAAATATACACATTCAAGATTTAAAAAATATATATATATTGATTTTTAGAGAGAGGGAGAGTGAGAGAAACATCCATTGGCTGCCTCCTACATGCCCCCTACTGGGGATCAAGCCGAAACTGGGTCACATGCTGTGACTGGGAATCAAATCTGATAACCCTTTGGTGTACAGGACAACACCCAATCAACAAAGCCACACCAGCCAGGGCACAAATTCAAGATATTATGAACACAGGTACTAATGATCAGATGCCATATCTTAAAATTTCACTGATAGGGACTTTATTGTAGAAAATATTATGAAACTCTAATAGGGTCTAGTATCTAGTTAATGCTCAGTAAAAGTCAGTTAGTGTTATTATGATTAATATTACCTCACTGTGCGCGCTGATGAAAAGTTTTGCAAGCAAATGGTTAATGACTTTCCCTTGAGATCTGATCTTACTCTGTCTTAACATAAAGTAATTATAATTCAGCACATTTTTAGATTTTTTAAAATGATAAGTGGAAATAAATATTTCTAAATGTTGGAATTCAGCAGTTCATTCCAATTAAGATCTTTAAGAAGGATCTAGGTCAGTGTTCCTCAGTATTTTCCACCTGGGAACTACCATTAAGGCACCAAAAAGAAAATGAAGCCCTGTCTAACAATGCAGAGCTTTCTCCCATTAATGTTAGGACAGTAAAAGAGGTTGGAGGAAAATATGGAGAGTAAGGAAAATAGGACTTTTCATTTTTTTCTTTATTCTGAAATGTTTGGATTTTTAAACAAGAATACATTGGTGTATTAATTTTGCAATTAAAAACCTTGAAGAATACTTAAGGTTCAGAGGGTAAGGTAAAGCAGTTGGCGGATGAAGATTGCATTTTTTCAGAATGGTTCTTGTGGCTCAGGCCAGCATACTTTGAGAGAGAAATTTAGGCATTGTACATTTCAATAGCACTAATGAAGTTAATGGAAGTAGTTTAAATTTTAGTGCCTGTGCTATGTGCTTTGCTTTCAGATTCAGAAAGATGCTTAGAGATTGCTTGATATCTTATGGTACTGTTTTAATGTGTTCATTTTTAAGCCCTCTGCTTTACAAATTTTTGATAAACCACAAAGCAATGTCAAATAAATGGCATAATAATCAACCCATATTTGAGTGCCCCGAAGTTAAAGGCACTCTGTAAGATGTCAGGAAAAACAAACATAAATCAGGTAATATCCCTGCCTTTAAGGGATTACAGTGTTATATCCTTTAAGCTATCACTTGATTTGAAATACCATCTGCATAAAGAAAACGCAGACTAAATGGCAAAGAGAGAAAACAAGCAGTGTTTTTCCATTTAACTATGGCTCAGGATAGAATCAGTCATGTCACTTGACCTCTCAGAACCTTATTCTGAATCCTTAAAGGATACTTACATTAGCATTTCTAAGCATTTGAGATCTCCTCTCAAGGTATGCTTTGAACTACTCAGTCTAAATGCTGCTTTCTAGAAAGCTACTAGTTTAAAGAATGGGAAATGGTGTTAATGGAGTTAATCTTGTGTAATTTCAGTGTGGGTTGTCAGGAATACCTTTAAGTAAAGAAAATGACTCTAATCTTCTTAAGCAATTCGTTTTCTTAGCAACTGTGAGGCAGGAGCTAATTTACTCTGCCTGTGTACATAAACCCTGTCTTATTAAAGAAAAATTTTACTCATGGAAAGAAGTCAGGATACCCATGAAATTATTTAAATTTAGAGATATTGAAAAATGTTACGAAATATAAGACATTAAAATTTCTTTTCTTTTATCAGTTTCTTTAATAAATATCAATTACCAATATAGAAATAAATCTGTGTTACAAGGAGGAAATTTTATCATGGAGTCAAAACAAGAGCTATTTGGTTGTTTTTAAAAGGGGAGAGATCAAAGCTGGTCACCGCTTAACTGAGGGTGTTTGAGCAGCAGGATGGTGTGGGGGAGTGGAGAGAGTTAGGGACTCAACTCTTTATGCTTTTTTTCCAAGTCACCCTTTTCTGATAAGCCTTACTGGCATTTTCTTGGACTGGTTAAGTCAGGACTCTGAATTTTTCACTGCAGTGGGGTTTTAATCTTAGTTGATTGTTGTTTCCACTCCCACTCCTGGCCATAAAGGACTAGTGTTCTTTCCTAAGACTGAAAGAGGAGGACTCTTTCTATAAATAACCTTTATAATTTCTTTAGGTTATGATAAAATGGATGTAGTTTTGCATATGATTTTCAAAAGGAATTAATTTATGTTACATTTTTTTCCATGAAATAACTTACGGGAAATTTAGTAATTTTATGATATGTAAATAATAACAATGCACTTTTCATATATTTAGGAACTGTTATAAAATATGGGAAGCTGTTATTCTGAATTCAAAGCACATTCTTCCAAGGCAGGAAAGAGAAAACTTTAATTTCATAGCGAAGCAATTGGTGATTGTGTATTTTATGTACATATTCTCTCTCATTTTGATTATTATAATTTTCTAACTGGCTGCCTCCATTCCTCACTCTATCCAGTTTTTTCTTGTATACTGTCAGTGACCCTCCTAAAAGTAGAAGTCTGATTGTCATTGTGTTTATGGCATATAGCATTTTCAGTGGCTTCCCAGTAGCTATGGAATTAAAGTCCAAATCCCTACACATAGCACATGTAGACCTGCACAGTCTGGCTTCATCTGCCACTTTCTCTGTAAAATATACCTTTTTTTCAGCTCTATTTGCTCTTTCCCAAATACAGCAAGTTTTCCATGTTACACAGCCTCAGCCTCTCATTCCCATTGGTAGAATGTCTTTTCCGTTTAGGTTAAAAGTCTTGTTTGTGAAATCTGTGCACTCATAACACTTTGTATATGCCTCTACTATCTCATTGCCCACATCACCTTATACTTGTTTGATTCAATATCTGGCTCATCCACACTAACTGTTTAAGGGCATTCATTTTTATACCTCAGGCATCCATCCAGTGCCTGACATATAATAAATAGGTTTAAAAATGCTTAATGATACAACAATCATACTTTAGGAAATTATATTGTTATAAAAAGAAAGAACTTACCAGCAGCCAGAGAAAGATTATTCTCAAGGAATGATGAGAGTGATAGCTAACTCTTAGGGCAATGATAGAATATATTAAAATAACTGAGAAAGTTTGCAACTAGGTAGTGACTCACTAGAGAAAATTAAAACAGACAAACAAAAAACCAAAACTCTTCAGGCTGGAGGTAAAGGATCCAAATCAAAGCGTAGGGCGGAGGAATGAATGATGAACAGGAAAAGTGGCAACTATGTGTTTAAATATAAACAAACTGACTCATTTGCACTTCTCAATCCCTTCATCTTTATCACCAGCCCTCCCAAACCCCCTTCCTCTAACAATCATCAGTCTGTTCTCTGTATCTATGTGACTGGTTTTTTTGTTTGTTTATTTTGTTCTTTAGATTCCACATACAAGAAATCACATGTATTTGTGTTTCCCTGTCTGACGTATTCTACATAGCATAATGCCCTTTTGGTCCACCCATTTTGTTGAAAATGGTAGTATTCCATTATTTTTTATGGCCAAGTAATATTCCATTGTACATGTATATATGTACCACAACTTTTTTATCCACTTGCCTATTGATGGGCACTTGGGTTGCTTCCATATCTTGGCTATTGTAAATAATGCTATAATGAACATAGGGGTGCATATATTCTTTCAAATTTGTGTTTTGGGTTTTAATATTGAAATGTTCTAGAATAGAAAGAGTTGTTAGCTTCTTCAAACATAATTTCAAGTGCTATAAACTTTGAATGATTGTAAAAAAGATTTAAAAATTTTTGCCCTCACCAGTATGGCTTAGTGATAGA